GACCCCCGCACTCTGTGTTACATACTACTGACCCCTGCACTAGATAATGTCTTTCCAAGAACAGCCAGCCGGGTCATCTCACCATTAGGAATCATTCTGTATTTGCCTTCAGCACAGAGACTTACATTCCGCACAAAGCTGGTCTCCCCGACAGACCTGGCGATCAGCCCCGGCATAATGGCCACCCCGCTCTCGGCGATGGCTCGGTGGAACAAGCCCTTGGCTAGTGGGGACAGGACCTGTCAGAGGAAGTCAGGGAGAGATTAGATACAATGTATCACGCTCCGGAAACAGTATATTCAAGAGAACCTGTCAGCACAGAAATATGAGAACTGACATCGGTGACTTGTCTGTAAAGTGCTCCAGGGCTGTCATTCTCATCCTTGCTTCATTCTGGTAAGGAGAGATATATGGGGGCGTGGCTACTGACCTCCTGAGGAAAATGCTCGTTTCCTGGCTGTCTGTGGTTTTGATACTTTGAGAAGCTGCCCTGGAGTCTGGACCAGCATGTAGAGCAGGAAAGATGAAGTGACATCAGAACTCTTAATCTGCTTGTTCCGGGTCAAAGAATTAGAGTATACTGAAGCCACTGGATTGGCATGACTGCAGCCAGGACAGGTCACTAGCTTGTTGCAGGTTGGTGGCTCGTCTAGGCAGTGCAAGGATGAGGATGACAGTTTTGGAGCCGGTGTCTCTGAAAACAGTGTTTGGAGCAGAACGCATTTCCAGCGTTTCCCATTTGGGATATTTGGGCTGAGACAAAGGTTGGCTGCGTGTGGTCAGGACTTACCAATGCGGAGACGCTGACCCCACCAGCGGACTCCCCGAATATGGTGACGGAGTCGGGGTCCCCCCCGAAATCCGCAATGTTCTCCTTCACCCAGCGCAGCGCCTCCACCTGATCCAGGAATCCGTAGTTCCCCGCAGCTTGGCTGTCCCCGGAGCTACGGCAAACAAATGTTCCAGAGATCATGTGACAAGTCTATAACCAATGGTCTTCACCCCAAATTTACAGTCTCCTCCTCCACTCTTTACGGGAGTCAAGCAAATGAGGAGAATAGCGGAGGTGATAGTTCTACCCCGGGGGCCACTTACCTGCCGGTGCTCCGAGGGGAGGAACATTACAATTTTATAAGTCAACTTGACACAAGGGGGAAGAAAGTACTGACCAAGGGGAGGGCAAAAGGAGGCGGAGCTGTGTATGGCGGCTTACCTGAAGAAGCCCAGAATCCCCAGCCGGTACTGGATGGAAACAACGACGACATTTTCGTGGGCGCTCAGGGCGGAACCCTCAAACATCATGGCTGCTCCCATAACTAATGCGCCTCCGTGAATGAACACCATGACCTGCAGAGAGAAAACCAATAAAAGATCACTGAGCCTCCTGTCCTCCCCGCCGGTCCCACCCAAAGGCTTCCCCCACATCCGTTCACATGCACCAGAGCTGCACACATGGCGACATTAGCGGGAACCAAACGGTGAGCTGACCCCCTGAATCGGGTGCACCGCCGCAGTGGCCTATCTGTGCCATAATACCACCATCAGCTGGGACTGGAAACGGCCATTTTTAGACCGAACCAAAATGTATAAGATTACAAATGATAAAGTGCATTAAAGAGCACCTGTCATGATAGAATTATAAAGGCTGCCGTTGTTGGCCTCCTTCTGAAAATGTGAGGTGCCTGGCCGTGTCTGTCACAGATCCGGAAACAAACGTATTTCAGGCAGGGAGATTGATGGTAGGTGTCAGGAGATGGAAATCAAAGCCACACACCGAGGAAACATGACACAGGTCCTACATGGGGGCTTGATAACATGCTTTCTGACTACCGACGAATCCTACGATCCGGCAATATCTCCCGCCGGCTGCGGCATCTGGGCACTCACGGGTAGTTTGGCGTCCTGTCCGCGGTCGCCCGGGGTGAAGACATTGAGGTAGAGACAGTCCTCGGATGTGGGCGGGATCACAAATTTGGCTTTGAACACGTCTATGAGATTTTTCATAATGGCCGGGTCCTGCACACACCTGTGAAAGGAGAAATACGGATACTGGATTAGAGGGGAGCGAGGGGAGGAGGTGACCCCGCCCCCCACACATGTCACAGGGGCTGCTCACTGTTGTATGACCCTAAAGGTGTCCCCCCCCCACCTCCCCGCACCCTTCAGGTCTGATCGTCTCATATACAAACTGACTGTGAGTCATTTTGGTGTCACCCCTCCAATGGTGGCACCCGGGTGCAGGCCGCACCCCCCTTGTGACGCCACTGCATCTGGGTACCTTTCAGAAAGGGGCAACCAGATGCCCCCCCTCCCTTGTGAATTCAAAATGTAAATAAACACCCTTCGAGGAAATGTCCTTTATTTGAAGAAAAAACACAGTTGAACGCAGAATGACAGATCGCGCGTCACCACTCGCTCCGCCCACTTGTTTACATTTTGATCAGATATGCCATTTTTCGGCAGGATCGTTCTGGTCGGCGGGATTTTTTGGGCTTTGGCGAGTCGGCGGGTGTCGTTCATCGTGATTGACGCCGGGTTACATCGACGGACATCGGTTTTGTTTTCTCAATAAAGGACTTTTTCAAGGTGTGTTTATTTACATTTTGAATGATAACTCATTCACGAGGGGGGGGCATCTGGGTGCCCCTTGTAAATAAATGTTCGTTTGTAAATAAAGATTTTACAGAAATGATAATTACAAAATAAAATTATTTGTTTATAAACATGAAGTAAAAGTGAGGCGAGCCCTGCCAGCGGAGTGTGCGGAGCTCCCTCTGTGCGGGTGGAGGCGTACTTACATGGGAGGGTGTTCGGTGGCCTCTCTCACCCCATTCCAGTTTTCCGGGGCTCCTGAAGCTGCAAAGCGTAGGGGCCCCACCGGAGGCTTGGCGAAGGGGACCCCGTAGAAGGCGTGCACCGTCCTGTCCGCGGCTTTGGCCGTCACCGTTTTTCCGCGCAGTTTGCCGTAGCGCGTGCTCAACAGGGGCCGCCCGTCCTCGCCTCCTGCCGTCAAAGCAAAGACACAATTCACTGAGTGATGTCACCGCGCAGCAATGGCGGCTTAGAGGGGGGCGAGAGGGGAACCTTCTATGCTGCACACATTGCGGGAAGAAGGACTCCATGACTGGAAAGGTGACACGTGAATCTCCAGTAACGAGCAGGGTTGCCACCTTTTCCTCCATCGAAACTAGTCCCACCCCTGTTTTAGCACTCAGTGGCTCCTATTATCGCTGTAGTGACTTGCGTACATTCGGAGTCCCTCCATCGCTCACTCAGTGTGTACACAGTGCGGAATCTCAGTGTTTGCGCTCACCAGTTACATGCACATACATGTCTTTCTTCTCTGCACGCATCTCAAGGAACGTTCCAAAGGGTCCCCCCGGTGCCATAAAATCCATTGTTATAGATCAACAGATGAAACTAGAATCCCTCCGCCGGGACAACACTGGAGACCCGTCATGTATGTGGGGAGATTGCAGCATGGGACGAGGATTGTACATGGCTTTGTATGTGGGGCGGCAAGGACTGCAGATATTGCATGGCTGTCAGTGTGCCCCTCTGTATATAGTGTCTGCTCAGTTGTCAGTGTGCCCCTCTGTATATAGTGTCGGTCCCAGCTGTCAGTGTGCCCCTCTGTATATAGTGTCGGTCTCAGCTGTCAATGTGCCCCTCTGTATATAGTGTGGGTCTCAGCTGTCAGTGTGCCCCTCTGTATATAGTGTGGGTCTCAGCTGTCAGTGTGCCCCTCTGTATATAGTGTCGGTCTCAGCTGTCAGTGTGCCCCTCTGTATATAGTGTCGGTCTCAGCTGTCAGTGTGCCCCTCTGTATATAGTGTCGGTCTCAGCTGTCAGTGTGCCCCTCTGTATGCACAGCCCTCACCTGCACACAGGCCAGCCAGCAGCAGGCAGCACAGCGCAGCTCCTCCGCTCTTCATCTCCTCTCCGGGGTGACTGACGGCTGCAACTGCTGAGCGCTGCATATGCCCCGGACTGGGCTGATCCTGGCTGCTGATTGGCTGCTGAGACTGTCACTCACCGGCTGAGTACAATCCTTGTCTATATGGTCGGTGTTTGTATACATTGTATCAGCCGGGATCTGTCATGAGAGGATGGT